GATGCCGAAAAAATCGAAATGACTAGCATGTGGGCAAGAAAATGAGAATTCAACATTTGAGATTCAAGATAGATTATTTGAAGATTTAAGTACAAAATAAAAAATACATATCACAATGGTTGTGATTCACCATAATTCTTCCTGCAAAAGATAGTTCCTGCTAGTTGCACTGTTTAATATTGATTCCTGTTGATAAGAGATTTATTACTTGATTATTGATTTACCAATTCCTGCTGATGAGAATTTTATTACTTGATTATTGATTCACCTTACATTAATAGAGTTACTATCAAATAAAACATAAGAATATAATTGCATATAAAAAGAAAGAAATCACAGATGGATCTACGTATGTGTACTATAGTAAATGATAGGCAAAATTAAAAAAAGCAAAAAAGAGGAGGAAGGAGCTCTTGCACTCCACAGGAATTTGTGATACAAGTTTTTCTACTGCTGTAAAATTTGTGATACACGATGGTGCCATTGAACTTCTGCGAAACAAACGCCCGAACTCAAAAATACTCTCGCAGCTGAAGCTGTAAAGGCAGGGATCGCCTACATTATGGTGAGATTCTACCTTTACATCCTGTCAAGCTTTCCTTGCTCAGATTGGGAGCAAATACACTAGCAGGGTTTCCACTTTGTAGGGGAACTCCAAGGCTGGAGCCACCGCAACCCTGCTAATGTATTAGCTCCCTATCTATGCATGGAGAAATTCATTGGATATAGAGGTAGACTTTCACCATTAGTTATATTAGGCGATACCCTCTTTCACAGCCTCAACTTCGAGGGTTTTTTTTTCAGTTTGGGAGTTTATTTCAGAGGAAACCAGCAGCACCGATGTGTTCCTTGCAAAATTTAACTAATAAGGAAACACTTAAATAAATATCCCTGCAGCATACGAGAGCTCAATTATTGATTCTTTTGTTTACACTTCATAAATTATGTTAAGATATTGTTTCGTGCAATTACAGGGTTTACGTAGCCAAAAAAAAATAATTCAAATTTATATTGTTTAGAAAAAAGAGATTTTACCCCCCAAAAATCTATGTAATTAGTCAGGGTTCACAAATATGGGACATTTGAGACTAACGATAGGATGAGGCGATAGCTGGTAGAAAACTGAAGTTAAAGAAATTATCTAGAAATTGCTTCGCTTGGGAATTAAAAATAAGATTAAATATTAATGATTCAAGGAGTTTCCGGCAATTTTCGCACTTTCTTTGCAAGGTCATCGTCTGTAAGAACTTGAAAAATTAGGGGAGATTCGAAGATATTCAAGAGCTTTCCAAGGCCCTGTAATTTCAAGTTATTAATTACTGCAGGAACTAATTGTGGCAGGTGTTTCTTTAGCTTTGATTTCACACCTTACATGTCACTGTGTACTTCAAAGTGCGACACAGTTTGCATACAATGGGAAAAGGATAGACTGACATGATTTTCAGACAAAAGTAAAAAACTGAAGAGAGCTAATTGCACACAACAGGGTTGTTGCAGAATTTTCAAAATTAAATCCTCCAACATTTCCCTGACAAATGTTAGTAATTTTACCTGGCATTTGAGGATACACAGGACAGTTAAAAATACCCAATCAGAAATGGACTGAGTTAAGTAGAAAGGAACCAACCCACATTTTGGAAAAAATTGAATTATGAGTGGTTTTGAACTCAACCACTGCTCTACTATCTATCGCCAAAAATTCAAAGTTTTTGCTGGAGCAAATTTTGCAGAAATTGAACTTGAAGTTTATCGTTTACATTGAGTCTCATGCAGGAGCCAAACTTTAAACCTCTTTTTCTCGGTTCGATCCCGATGTGGCTTGGTTTCTTTCTGTTTAACTCCGTCCAAATGGTTTCCAAGCAACATTTTTAGTCCAAAACGTCTAACACATATGAGAGAGCAAATAAGGATGATTAGACAATTTTTCTTTAATCATTTTGTAATTTTCCTGGATTTATAAAAATTCTCTGACACTTCACTCTTCCCACTGACTTTGAAGACCCGGACATAGAGATTCGTTTTATCATAACTTATCGTCATCAAATATTGGGGGGGGGGGGGGGGAGGGAAGGAAAAAAAATTGAATTAAGAGCAGCTCAAGAGTAGCAATTTTTGTGAGAGTGAAGTAGAAGAAAATTTTATGTAACCTGATTCCTTCAGTTCGCATTTTCCTTAATACTTCTAAGATATTAATAATATAATACTTGAGTAATAATACTGACATTCAACTGATCAAAAAAAACAAGACAAAAGGCAATGTGAGTTCCCGGTTCCACACAAGAATTATTACTGATGATTTGGACTACGTTTTGCAACAAGGAACTATTGTGTCTGGCTCATTTTAGAAAACAAGAGAGGTTTCATAATCCATCAGACAACAAAAGAAAAAACAGAGGAAGAATTTTTAAGAAGGAGTGAAAAGCTCCAGAGCAAAGGTGTTAGGCCTCAGCCACGCATTATTCTGATTGGAGACCTCCCCGATGTGTCAGCTTTTGTTCGCGTTGACCAGACGGTTATGATACGGGGCAGAGATCTGTCGATTTGTGTTTCAAAATACATAAAGCCTTAAAATTAAGTTTTGCCCCGGATTGTTTGCTGAATTGGCTATTCATAGAACAATAAATCTACGAATTTGATTGTAAATATGACCTACAGTATGCATCGTTAGCAAGATTTATGAACGATCTAGTATGAGTCTCCTTTTTAGATTCGGAGCGTTATGCCTTTAAAACATAGACACATATAGATACATCTTTTATTCCCCTTTTTTTCCTTTTATTTTTATTATTTGTTCGTAAAATGAATGAAAACAGTCACCTTTCAATCTTTTGCTTTTCTCATTAAAATAGGATTTTTGAAAAGACAGTTGCTCCCTCTACACCGTGGCCCTTTAAAATTCAAGACAAAATGATTCCCTGCTTTGAATGCAAAAACAAATCCGAACGGTTTAAATGCATATCAGATTTAATTTACGATTCCAAATTTGTTCACAAAATGAATAGGTTTGAACCTGTTATTTGTACTTTTCCATTTTGTCGTGCCGAATTCACTGACAGATCTAACATTTCCCACCATTTCTCGAGAAAACATGGGAAATCAACTCAACTTTTGTTAAATTCCGATCAAAGCAATATTTTAATTAATAATCTTCTTTATGAGCCATCAACATCAGCCACCAATGAAACAGAAGTGGTTACAGAACTGGACTCACTGGTTGATAAGTCAGAAAAGATCCTCACTTGTAGTAAGCCTGTATTTAATGTAGCTGTAAATGAACTTCAGAACACAACTGTGATTTCTCCATGTAGTGATAGCTCAGGACTGACAACGACTGACCTAAATTTAGAACTCTCTGTTCAAGAAGAAATCGTTCATTTCTGCCTAGAAATGATTGGTCACCCGGACATACCATTTTCTCATGTTGAATTTGTTGTAAAAAGAGTTGCACATTTACTCTCTATTGTAACCAAATTTTATCAACAGAAGTGTCAAGTATATGTGAAAATTGTAATGAAGAATGCTCCAGGCTCATTTCTCAAAAAATAATCGACCTTTCTAATTTTGTACAAAATAGTTTTAAGCAATTACAGTCAAAATACCGGCAAGAACATTTTTTCTTAAAGAAAGGACTTTATATAGCCCCTCAACCAAAATTTCTTGGACAGACTGAAAATAAGGAAAATCAACAATAGATTCAGACATGCTCCCGTTGAAGAATCATGCATTTTCATACCGTTACGCACTCTATTTGAAATGTATCTAAGCCGAGAAAATGTCTTAACTCGTATTAAGAAATATATGTCAGATGTAACTAGTGAAAAAGTGATCCTGAAAAATATAATGCAGGGTGAATATTGGAAAAATGTCACTTTTCACTCTGATGGAATTACCTTGCCTCTCTGTTTATTTAATGTATATGCCATAAATTTTCTCATGTAGATGGATGCGCTTTCATGCACGAGTCAAAAATATTGAATTAGTTCCTTGTTGCATGATGAGGTCTATTTGACAGATAGTAAACATATGAAGTACTTAACGTAAACGTTGTTTCAAGTGATTCTACAAAATTTTATAATTTTAGATGATCACTGATGTTCTCATTGAGCATTCCAAAGCAAACATAGTTGGACAATATCGTAAAGAGGATAAGATGCCAACAACAGGACTGAGAGAGAAATCTTGGGACAGGCGATCAGCTAGATGGCAAAAGTCCACAGCAAAAAGTACATATAATGATTGTGTAACATACAAAAAGTGTCATGATATTTCGAAAATTTTCATTGAATAATATTGCAAAATACTTTCCAAGTGGCGAAAACTTAAATAAAAATAATTTGTTCAACTGACAAGTGAACATCAGATTGTGGTGTGATAATTCTGGGTGCCCAGTGATGAAGTTTAGACTCTACAAAATGTCTTGGAAAAATGTCTTATATTCTTAATTCAATTTTTCAAGTCATTTCTGACACCTGCTCATAAGTGACAAGAGCAGGATTTGGGAACACGCTAGAAGCCCATGCCTATACTTCCATAGTTATGTTTGCTAAAAGCACTTCTATCACCAACATTTTAACAAGAGACAAGATAAAAATAGCGACTAATTTGTCATTAGAAAAGCATGTTCATGATCAAACCGATGGTACATTTGTCATGAGCGAGCTTTGATGAAAAACAAACTTAGGATTACAAGAGACACACAAATCATCGATTGCAAAATAAGTGCTCTAAAAAAATTAATCAATTATTTTCAATTGAAAATGAGTATAAGATCATGAACAAAGCAGAAATCAGCAAAATATTTTCAACTTAGGTCCAATCGACTTACAAGCTTTGCAGTTTTCATGAATTAAAGGAAAAACAGAAAAGGCAAGGAAGAAGAAGAGAGAGGAAGAAGTGATACAGGAAAGAGAGAAAGACACAAGATTTGTCAAAAAACTTTTGGGTGGCATATTGATTACATTTCCTCTATACGCGTACAGTGGAGGGTCACTAATTTTAAAAATTCTTCTTTAGATCGAATTCACGATTACAGACAAGAAAGCATAATATTTTGTTGCATTGTATAATCACTTTACCTCCTACCAAACCAGCAAAAAACCTTTAGAATGTGCTAATAAGAAAAAGGTGATTTTCACAGAGCTGCAAAATTTGGAGAGTAGAAAGATTTGACTGGAAAAGAAAAGTTAGGTACAGGGGCTTTGGATTATTATTCAGAACAGATTAGAGGACTATTTCGAGTCCAGAAACACTTGATAGTTTTGTGATGGGGCATACCATTACACAGGCCAAATGGTACAGTAAAAATAACCTTCTGCTAATTTATCCGCAACTCTAATCTACAACACTATTTAACTTTCGAAGCGTTCATGTGCGCTGAAAATACAGGGGAGTCTTGGGTTTTTCAACACTAATAATTATAAGATAAAAAAAAAACTTAGGTATTATGAGCTTCCTCAGTTCACAAACCTAAGGAAAGTAAGAGATAACAAAGGCGAGTTTAACCAGAATCGGTTTAACTACGTTTCACTTAGTCTAATTTTCTCTGATGTTTAATTTTTCTAACAGAAACCTAAAATACTTGACACCTTTAAAAGTTGGTTTGAATTTGCTCCAGATTATGAAGAGAATGCTCACAATAAAATTTCACTGTTGCTTATTGTTAGTTTTCTGTTTGAAAAATAAACATCAGAGAAAAGTAGGCAACATCAACATTAGTTATGTTGATTTGGCTGAAATCGTCCAAATAACATTCAAAAGCTTGTCTAGAAACTCTGTTCAAAGTTTTTAAACATCAATTCACATATTTGACTTGAATACAAAAAAGTTAGTAATTTCCCTTCTTCGATCACAAAAAGGAGAGATAAATTGAACAGAAAAAAAGGTGCTTAAGTATTTTCTTAGAGTAGCTGAGTAAGGGGCTTAATTTTAAGATATAATTGGAATGAAAAAGCACATCAGTACAAAACTTACAAGGAGATTCTAGGTTCGGTGAAATCCTCCTCACAAACACTGAAATTATAAACATCCTAAAGTTAAGATTTTCACATTTCAGTTCTTTTGGATTTCAACAATATTTAAAAACTGATTCATATTAAATTCACCAATATACATAAAAATAAATATGTAAGAGTGGAAACTTTAGGATCTAGGAGTAGAAAATTGCGGATGGTACAAATATACATAGAGTACAAGAGAATATTTACACATTATTACAAGTAATATAGAAAAAAAAAAATCCAGAAAAACCTGATTTTAACATGCTGAACAGGAGATTATTACAAAAAGGACTATGAAATACAGGGGGTGGCTTCAGGATAGTTAGGAACATTGATTTCTGCTTCAGGCTGACTTGCGTCATCCGTATTCGACACGGTGTCACAATCCATTGACTCCTCTTTCTCTGTTGAATCACTAACCTCATCACTTGGCAATTTCATATTTGGTACCACCAGTTTGAGTTCTTTGAGCTTTGATTTATCTTTAGGCGTTGAATGATTTATGTTTGCTTTATTTTTGATCGTTGATGGATCAGGAGGTTGCTCAGCAGTGTCATCTGGATTTGTTGTATCATTAATCTCTTCCATATCATCCTCCGCCTCTATGTCATCGTTTTCATCATCATCTTCCTCATCATCATCGACATCCTCTGCTTCAATATCATCATTTTCTATATCATCTTCAATGTCGTCATCATCATCTTCATCTTTTTTAGACATATCTTCAACATCTTCTGCTTCAATGTCATCATTATCGTCATCGTCATCATCCTCCTCCTCATCATCATCATCTTCATCATCATCATCATCATCTTCATCATCATCATCTTCATCATCGTCATCATCATCTTCACCGACAACTTTCTTTACTTTTACTTCTGCTTGTTCGCTTTCTGTGTCTTCTTCAGCGTCTGACTCAACTTCTTCCATGTCGATGTCATCTTCATGAATTTCATCTTTAATCAATACAGTTTCAATTTCTTCTTCATAAGAACTGTGCATTGCATCACCTTCAGCAGCGACACCCGGATGATCTTTGGCGATGTGCTCGTCAAAGAATTTCTGAGTCTTGAAAACTAGTTCGCAGTGGCGACAACGGATGGAGGGAATGGTGCCGATATTGGATCTTCCTGTGTGAGTAGCCATATGTATTTGTAACTTCCTTTGGGCATTGTGGTACCTACCGCAAACTCGACAAACAAAATTATTTCCTTTGCTTGTGAAAGTTCCAAGATGTTTCTCATCTAAATGGTGCGCTAGGTCTTCGTAATCTTTGCATAATTTCAAACATACTCCGCACGCGAATGGGGCTGCTTCCTTATGTGTTCGTATTAAATGCTGCCAGTAGTGTTTCAAGCCGGTCCAAACTTTGTCACACAACTCGCAAGGTGTTTCGGCATCGAATGAAGCCCAGACTGTCCGCCCTGAGCTGCGCGAGGGTGGTGTTGGAGCTGGTGTGTCTTCCTTAGGTTTTTCAGTGCCTCCCATTACAAAACCTTCTGCTAAAGGTTCACATACTTTAATATGGTCATCGAAATCGATCTCAAGGATGAATTGTTGAGCACATGAAGAACAGCAGAATTCATCATGGACTGATCTTCTGTGAGTTATTAGGTCATTGATTACTCTGAATGACTGGGTGCAGGAGATACACGAGAACATGCGTCTGAGTCGTTTTGAAACTTCCCCACCTGCCTCATCTTCCAATTTAGCCAAAGACAAGAAGTCTGCAGAATTTTCAGTAAGAGCAGCGAGTTCTTTATTGATTCTAGAGGTGTTGGGATTTGACGGTCTTTTGGTAGCTGGTTTCTTTACTGGTTCTGGTTTCTCAACAGGTGCATCTTTTGGATGGTTCTCGACATGGGTCTCTAATTCACTTTTATCTGTAAAGATTTTCCAACAGATAGGACAAGGCTTATACTCACTACCATGATTGGCTCGGATGTGTTCGTTGGCTTTACTTCCCGAGCTATGCGTCTTACCACAAAGCTGACATGCAAACTGTTTCAATAAAGGCTCATGATGTTCTAACACATGCTCTGCTAAAAGCGACAGTGAAATTTCAGGTTCACAACAGACGTAACATAAAAATTCAGTCTGATCTTTATGGTTACTTTTCAAATGCTTTCGAAGTTTCTTGCGATTTGTGAAGACATCACCACAGAAATTACACAAGTGAGCGAAGTATCTAGACGCATGCTCTTTCTTGTGGCGTTCTGCATCTGCTTGAAGTCGGAATAGCCGACTGCAACCTTCGGTTTGACATTTCAAACGTGGATCCGTTCCATGTTTCTCACGAATGTGATCCATCAGTTCTTGCTTTGTATCGTGACTGACTTCGCACAATTCACAGACTTGCGGAATATGAGAGGATCTGATATGTTTTCGTAAAGCAGTTGGTAGAACAAATGTCTTTGAGCACTTTGAGCACGGGTAGACTCCATCAACCATTGCAGGGATTGGCGTGGTGGGAGGGCGTGGGCCATTACAATGTTTGTAATGCTTGTGAAGTAGACTATATTTTCGGAAAACTCGTTTACACTTTTCACAAGTGTGCGGTCCAGATGCTGCCATATGTGGCATATCTTCACCGCGGTAGTGGGGATCATCTGCTGGATCATACAGGTCACTATCTTTGTGCAATTTGGCAATATGCCGTTTTAGATGGATACGAGAAGCTGATGTCTTGCTGCAGATTTGACACGTCACATCAGGATGACCTGGATGACATCTGTGCACATGCTTCCACAGGTGAGAGCATTTAGCGTAAAATTTGGGGCACAAATCACACACCATTAGATTGTGAGATTTCCTTCGATGTTCAGAGAGGACTTCTATTGATTCGAACAGACCAGCGTCAGGACACAGAGAGCAATTGAGAGACTCTGGTTTCTCGAAAAACTTTTTGGTCACTTTGGGGGCTTCGGTTCCATCATTGTGCATGACTCGGTGACGCACCATCTTGGAATGTTTTAAGTACGGCCTTGCACAAATATCACAGCGAATTTGTTCGAGAAGCTCTGGGAGTGGCTCATGCTCATCTCGCACGTGAGCTTTAAGTTCATCTATTGAACACAAGATCTTTAGACAGACACCACAGACAAAAGGTAAAGTGTGGGGGTGGACACCCATCATGTGCTTATAAAATTCACTACGCTGTTGGAACAATTTCCCACACATTTCACAGACATTTGGATATTCGCCTTGCTCTTGATGGTGGGTCGCAGCATGTCCACTTAAAAGCGCATTGGAACTGAACACCTTTTTACAGGTTTTAATCGGACAAGCTACTCGTGGATCAGATGTATGGTTTTTGTAGATATGCGTCCACCTCTCTGACCGAGATGAAAAGGAAACACTACAGATTTCACATGAAAATATTAAATTGTTTGTGTGGTCAAGTAAACTCAAAGACTTGTGAGCATTTTGGCAATGTTTGATTAGCTTCTCTTCATCTCCAAACACTCGGGAGCAGATTTTACAGCTGACAGATCCAGGGGGCACTACTGGCGGTGCTTTGTTTTGAGCGGCAGCGTGGTTGATGTGTGTATGATACCTGGGATTTGAGATGACGATTTCTATTGTGTTCACAGTTGTACCATGAACAGCAGCGTGTTTAATGAGTTTAGGCCTAGCGTCGTCTTGTCTACCACAAAAACTGCAGCAGAACCTTTTCTGATCAGTGCCATCATTGGCGTGTGTTTCAAGGTGTTCAGCTAGTTGACCACGGTCGTTACAAATCTTCAAACATAGACCGCAAGCCAAGCCTGCTGCTTGTCTATGCGCGTGCAACATGTGAAGCCACATACTTGGTCTATCGTTGAACTCTCTGGTGCAGATCTCACAGCAAAAGACAGTCTCTGCTTCCATCATGTTTTCAATGTCCTCATCATTCATAGACTTGGGTATTTTGCCGACAGTAACTGCAGACGTATCAATTCCATGAACAGCTCGCATGTGTTTATTTAGAAGTGGTCGTTTTGTGAACGTTTTCTCACAAAGCAGGCACGTCAGACTTTCTTTATTTTGACTAACTCTAGCGAAGGGATTATTTGAAGAAGTGCTCTTTGATTTTGAGGGAGCACGAGACGGGGGTTGAGTATTGAAGGAAGAAATTGAGGGAGAGGAGTTGGAAACAGTATTAAAATTACCATTTAAGTTGGAATTAGATTTTGTAAGATTACTAGCATTGGAGTTTTGCGCACTGGCGTTACGAATGTTAGCAAAAATATTACTGTCAAAAAATGATTGAGACATGGAAACCTGATTAATTACCGAGCTACTACTTTGGGCAGAGGTGTTGCCATTATCCATGTATGCTGAGTGACCTTCCAAATTTGCATCACCTGCTTCTTCATCAGCTCGAGAAATTTTTCTTGGCATTGAGTTTTTACGTCGACTACCACACGCTTCATCGATGGATCTCTTTCTACTTTCGGAGTTCAGGATCTGAAAAGAAACAATAGAAATGTAAAAACAGCACAGTACACAACTTCATATTTTCAAAATTTCCGGCCTACAATTACGTTTTCTTGACAACTTCCACCATGACAATGGTATTCAGTGACGATTTTCAATAAAGTGATGTAATGGAATTAAGATATAAATTTTGGAGAGCTCCAATAATAAACTTTATTCTTTTAAATCTAAATATTCATAGTTTTGAAAATTGTTCATTTGACTTTACTTAAAATAAATGTCTGCATAACAAACTAAATTAAAAACCAGGCAAAAAATTGAAGTTGATCCCATTTTATTACATACTTTCATTTATTCGTTTTACAAAACCAGGCAACCATGTAAAGCCAAACCATGTAAGAGGCAGGCTGAAAAATAAAAGTCAATTTCATTGGGTTACTCGTTTTCATTCATGCGTTCCACCATTTACTGTTTGGATTGAATTAATCATCAGACACTGTAATAAAAAAAAAACTTTTGAAAATTTTCAAAACTTTGAATGAAAATGAGAAGATGAAAGGAGGAGTAGGTTTTAAGCTTAAATTGGTGGAACAGTAAGTAGTAATCCTGTGGTTTGCCGGTAAAATGTCACCTGAAGATCTGAATGTTTTGATGAAAACTTTGACCCCTCCTCATTAGGGGCATTCAAAGACCTACATTGAAAGAATGAATGAATAAATAAACAAACAATTAAAATAAAATAAAAAATAAATAATCTTTCTTAGAACAATGAATTTTTTGCTGTACTTTTTCCATCATAAAATCTAAGTTTTGCTGCTTGGAAAATATTAGTAGTATCAAAAAAAGAAACCTGAAAAACCACCATCATTCAAACTTTTATCTCATGGTCCAAAGAAAAAGCAAGCCTCTATTCAGCTAAATTTTTGTGGAGAAGCTGACGAATTAGCCAATTTGAAAATAAAATATGAAAATATAACTGTATGTTCAAGCCGAAGTATCAAATCACTTCTCATATGATCTAGTTTTTACCAGCAGAGTCCTTAGGGATCATATTTCCTCTCTACACATTTCTTTGCTATTTTGGACGAAGAGAATTCACTATTTTTTTAGGTTTGCCCGCCCTTCCTACAGTATGTAATTCTCCCTGGACTCCTTTCTGCTTTAATTCTGTAGAAGTTGTTTTTGTAAAGGAGGGGTGGAACCAACTATTGAATGATTTTGCTGATGACGGTTTAGAGTTGAACGTTTGCAAAATGATGGTAATGGGTAGTGTTTTCGAGAATGCTGCCCCACTAAGGAAAAAATCCGTATAAACATTCCAGAGTTGTAAAATTTTCTTTGATAAAATGTTCATTTTTAAGAAAAGTGATAAATATTTTCCCTTGAAATTTTCTGATGATTCAGATCTGATTGCGAATTGAATTCTCGGAAAAAATGGAGGAGAAATATTCACAGATTTTCCTAGGAATTCATATTATATCAAAGCATTTTTGACAACATCTTAAAGCTCATGCGGCATTCTTTCATGGCACGACAATATTATTCTGTATTTTTACTTGAATTATGTGAGTTTTGATTTTGAATAAGGAAGTAACTGTTTGAATTTAATTTTGCTACGTTTATTTAGTCTAGTTCATTTAATGCTGTCCTTCACTTTTTAGGTTACTTTGCTGTTCTTGGCAGAGGCGTGGCGTGCTTTGCGATATATCGATTGTTATGGCATTTAAGCCTACAGAAAAGGATCGATAAACAGGGTGTTCGCAGTGAACACTTTAATAATCGATTCTTTACCGTAGGTTTAAATGGCATAACAATTGATGTATCGCAATTCACGCCATGCCACTGGTTCTTGGGTAACTATGCCCGTTTTGTAATTTAAATAAAGCATTACTGATTAGCAAAAAACTTTAAATTCACCTTTCGCAGCGGTGATGGAGAGCCCAGCGTGTTACGCGAGCTATTTACCAATTGTTGAACATTGTTGGCTTGAGAGGTCTGACTGCTTGGCGATGTTGAATTGTTGGAGGGTCCAGGTACTCCATGTTTCGACCTTTGATGTTCAATCAGATTGGCTGGCGATGAAAACGTTCGGGTACATGGCTGGCAGAATATTGCTGGATGACCTCTGTGAGCAGTAGCCATGTGACCCCACAGATGTTTGGACAGAATGTATGATTTGGAGCAGAGGTCACACTTAAACGGCCTGAAAATATAAAGTAAGTACCAAAATTAAATTAATAAAATAAAAAAATAATAATTAATAAAATTCTCCCCCCTCAGTTTCGTACTGGTGCGCATTTGAGTTCAAAAAATTTAATTTTGACTTTAATTCTAATTCTAATTTTTGGTATTTCCTTGGCTTTGTTTCCCAGGGAAATGGTGTGGACCCAGCACCATTTCTCCACCTTATTATATACAGTTCAGGCCACTTCTTAGTGTTTAATTTTTTCATTACCAAAATTAAATCAATATAACAGGGTGCCCAGCCAATTTTGGAAAAGAATTCACCTGACTTATGTAGGTGATCCAGGTCAAATCGAAATCTCCCATTTGACTTTTTCCGAGAAAAAATCTTTTGTACTCAAGGTTAAATTGGATACGGCTTCCGATATTTAAAAAATTAGCCAGGACTTACATTACTGCTTGTCCATCAGATTTCCTTTGATTTTTAATCAACTAATCGAGGCCAAAAATGTAACATTGTGGGGATCAGATTGAGAAAGAAAAAATAACTGAATGTTCCAAGACAATTTCTAAAAATAATTAATTTTTTATTTTTCCGGGTGCATTCCGTCGAACGTGAATAGTGAAAAATCATATGATTTCACAAAACCCAGCAAGTAAATATAATGTAGCTCTGTATGATTTTTGAGAGAATAGAATTGAGGAATGATAATTACCCTCAAGAAAGTATTACCCATGCAGAGCACAATAATTGCCTATGCTGCATGCAGGTAAAACCCTATTTTAACATTTGTATCCTAAGCTGGTGAATTTTTAATCCATTGCTTCAAATCTTTCTATATGTGATGGTTTAATGTGGAGTTACTGGTATGGACTTGACAGATGCTAAAACCCTGATGAAGCTTTGGCCGAAAAGTTGGATAGAAGACAAGATAAAAGAATTTTTAGTACCAGCAGCCGGATTGTTGAACCTTTAACTGGCTATGTCGGCACGATAAGACAAGACATAGCGCCATCTGCGCCGTGTAATATATCGTTTTTCGATTCTTGTCGTGCCGACATAAATTTCAACAATCAGGCTGCTGGTAGAACATTTTTGTTCTTAACAACCAAGCTTATTAGGTAATGAGCCAACAACTAAAAGATTCTGTAACGAATGACTGCAGAAAGAGAGAAAGAATTAATAATGGTGGTCCAAAGCGAAAATGTGAAACAGTGGACCATTCGGAGAAAAGACAAAGTTTTCTGATGCTGCCAAGATGGTGAAATTTCCCATTTGTTCACTAAAAGAAATCTGGAATCGCTCTCATGATAAGGTTACTTTCCTTACGAAAAAGGCAAAGAAAAAAAAACCACTAATGAATCCGTTCATATAATAAATTTTGATCTTTAGATTTCGTGCGATAACACAAAAAATTAGCTTTCTTTCGCTCAGTTTTCCACATATTTTCTCATGTCTTGTGGGAAGCACACAGAAAAACCTCGATTCAGGCTTCTAAAATATCAGAGCCACATTGACACAAAGAATTTTGATGGTTTGATGATGTCTTGATGTATTACCAAAGATACATATCCTGAAAATATGAACATAGAATAGTAAGAATGAAAACGGGTCACTTAAGACTAAAATATGAAAACACTGAAAGGCAGGATGTTTTGAGTCATTAAAGGTTCATTTTTAACTGCAAAAAACAATAAAAATTGGCTAAAAATAGAGTGGTTACTTCATTTAAGTTGTTCTTACACAACCTATTACAAGCTCTACTAATTTTTCCAGTTTCTTGCAGCTGAAAATCAATTTCAAATGGATAAAAAATACTGCCCTCTTAGTGTTTTAATATTTCAGCCTTGTTTTACCCATTTTTTCTATCTTTTTTCTCATGTTCATATTATCTGAGGCATGTCTTTTCTATTCTGTTGTTGAATCACATTTTTGTACCAATTGCTTTGACGATAAAAAAATAGATAATTACTCACCTATCAGGATTGGCTTGTGATTGGCCTGAGGACTCGCCCTCTCTACAATTCTTGGAATGCAAAAATAATTCATTCTGATTGATAAAAGCTTCGCCACACTCTTGGCAAGTAAATTTGTACGCGTCTGGAGCCCTAAAATTATGAAGAGATTGCAACAATGTGAAATATTGGTTCATTAAGGCTTGAAAAATAAAAATTAAAATACTTTCAAGTACTACTTCAACAAGCATTTGTAATCAAAGACTAATGTTTTCTCAATTCTTTCATGAGTTGTACCATTGATGTATCGTTTGTAATCACCCTGACTTGTATATGGCTGCAAGGCAAAACATACCGATGAAGCGTCGTCATCAGCAATGAATTACCATTGCAGTTGCACAAATGGAGAAGCTTTAGATTTTTTTTTTAAAAAAAAATGAAATATTATTACTTATGTGATTAATTATGATCTCTGAGAACTTCACAGAGAAAAATTATGAATTGCCTTTGTCACAAATGTGCCGTCATCATAGTACATCGCTAACCAACATCAGGTCAGTTTCCATCAAGTTATGGATTTGAGTGGCTTACTGAAAATCTAAAAGTTCATTCGCAAATTTTTTAACTGTTGCTAATTCAACTACTTTCTTATATTTCTGCAGACCTTCCACGGACAGAAGCTGTTTGGAATGTTTTTACTTCTGATTAGGTAGGTTTCGCTCTGTCTACGCAGAAAAGATATACAAAATCACCAGTAACTCAGATAGATTCTGATAGGACACCCTTGTACTGCCATGCTATGAAAAAACACAGTATCTAGTGAATTTTCCATTTCAGGGTTATTTATAAAAGAAAAAAGTAATCCCTAAAATCTGCTGAAACCGATCAAAAAACACCAGTGGTGCATACTCAAAACACTTGTTTCACCGAATGTGGATAAATTGAGGAGTTTTGCAAGGGTAAACAACCATAGGACTTCTGAGCAGAGAGTTTGAACCTATTCATACGACTGTTTTTGTGAATACGTTGTGCTATACTAATGCCTGCATTACAGTGGCGTGGCGTGCTTTGCGATATATCGATTGATATGCCATTTAAACCTATGGAAAAAATCGATAAACAGGGTGTTTGCAGCGAACACCTTAATAATCGATTCTTTACCATAGGTTTAAATGGCATAACAATCGATACATCGCAATTCACGCCACGCCACTGCTGCATTAGTAAAGCACAGTGTATTCAAAGGGGAATCCTTATGCCTCTTATGTACTTTGAAAAATATGAGTGTCTCATTTCCCAATATGTAAGGAAACATCTCAAGTTACACTATTCAACATTTTGTGTGTCTAACCAGAGCTTCTATGAGCAAGAAGTTGTACTTTCATAGATCTCATGGTACAAACAATTATTTCATAGGAAGGAAAAAGACTTTACACCTAAAGCAGTTGTTAAATTACGTACCCATACATAGCCATGTCCATTCTTCCAGCATCTTGTAATTTCGCCTGTAAAGAAAAAAGTTGTGTGAGAAATATGGATAACAAAAGTTAAACTGGCAAAAAGGAGACATTTGAGATCCTGTAATTTAAATGAAACTCTCCGAATACACATGAGTACCTGCCTAAACTTTTCTGTGTGTGAGCTTATGTAGAAGCTTTTGATAAATCTACACAAGAAATTGACAAACATGGAGGTAAGTAGTGAACCAATTTTGTTTTAATACCTGTTTCCATATTATTTTTGGAAAAATTAGTAGCAAAATTGAAAAGAAGAATATTCATGAATCCAAAAGCAAATCTCAATTATTTATGGCTGAAAAAGTTTTTTTTTTTTTTTTTCAAACCTAAAAACGAACCAAAGTATCCAAACATACAAAACTGAAAAATCATGAACATTAAAAATCCTTAGGATACTTTGAGCTTGCTGTTTATAGACTTTAAAAGTAGATCAACATGTACCGGACGTCAGTGAGAGTGTTGTAAGATTTGGCATTCAAAAAAATGAAAATGTCACTAGATAGCAGCGAAAGCAGCTAATGAGTAAAATTCAAGACCATGCAATAAGAAAACTTTAACTCAGACATTTTAGGCTTCACACAGCTATTCACATTTTCATTTTAGTTGAACAGAATCACACCACATAATATTGAAGTTCAACTATTTGCAATTGCAAGAGGTTTCAAGTTTTATTCCTCCATTAGAGGCAACTTCAAGATAATTTTAACAACTATTTTCACTTTGAACGTGAGATAATGTGCGACTGGCTACATTAATTACTTACTCCAAACTAACCTTTTATTTTTTTTTTTTTAAAAAAGAAAATGCGACTTAGTACATACATGGTTTTTGCTGGCCTTGGTCCAGTTAAAATCACGTGAGCTCAGTCCAATTAACATAATATTTTTTTACAACTTTCCGACTATATGACACAACTTTTAACTATTTTTAATTTGAAGCAGCTCATCAGTGGAACTTTGAAAACTTTTCCTTGGGTTCTCATTCTTTGTTTGAAATAAATCTATGGATATGATTCAGATGTTCATGATTTAATGTTGAACTTTATTATTGAAATGAAAGAGTCAGGAAAACGGTCCAAGAGGTGCATTATGTTTTCATATCGCAACTTCTTCTCGGTGTCCTTCCATGTCTGGTACAGACATTTGAACTAAACATGTGCGTTTCTGATAACCTGTATAGCAACCACATGTTAAAATTATAAAGGCACTTGATGATACAGGTACCAGTGACGGAGGATTACACCTAAACTACACGAGAGTTTGAGATTCTTTTCCTGCAGAATTCTTGTTAACTTTACGATGAAAATTTTTTGAAGTTTTTGAACGGAAGGATTGTATTTTGCAGCAAGATTTTGTGATAAACACACTTTCATCTTGCTGCAAAGATTATCTCAGATAGTTTTGCCAAGTAGAAAGAAAATGGAATACCTTGGAATAATCCGTTGGCTGTGTTGCCTGAGTGTCATATTGTTCATCTGGCTCTTCCTGCAAGTAGACAAATAAAATGCATGTTTCAGAAATAATGAAAAATACAGATTTTAAATAGGTTGAACTCATTGTTTTTGTGAGCAATTCCTGAGGTATTTTGTACATCATTCTCCAAAAATTAAACAGAAGTTACTGTTTCAGTAGATGTTGAAGCTGTTGATTGTCGAGGGTTGAACCAACCAAGCTAAGTACTAAGACACAAGCCCCCACTTAATAAAGAATTGATATGGTGTAGTTTAGAACGCAGCCAGTGATGTCTTTCTTTCATGAAAAATTTCTTGTCAGTAAAGACTATTTAAAAATAAACAGCGAAATAAAAACAAAATCTGCATTGTCAAAGTAAACTCCTGCAATACTGTTTAGTTCCTTTGTTCCCTAAATGTAACTCAACAGTCCCATTGATCTTTGGAGATCGCTGAGCATTGGATAAAAATATTCAGCATCAATGCTTTAACAAGCAAGAAATGAGACACTTTGGATGGAGTTTGACAACACTCTTTGTTTTGCACCACGCAATTCAGTTTCAAAATGGTCCAAAATGGTTTGTCTGGATACAGCATCTCAAGCTGCCTTCCTCTTTGACAATAAGACAAGTCCTTGTCCTTCCCAGGTTTTCCTTGTAATAAGAATTTCATTTTGGATTTTCCACGTCTTGTTTTTGGAGTAGGGCACACTATTGCTATACGAATGAAAGCATATTGACAGTGTAAGTCCGCAACCGCATATCTCCGTTTGCGACGTTATAGACTCCCTATCACACTTTATTTTTGAAATGGAAAAGTACTCAACGGGTATACTTAAAAACTGTTGTCATTTTTCTCATCTGTAGGAAGAATATTCTGTGAAAATTTCAAGGAACAACGTTGATTTGTTCTCCTTTAAAAAAATAAAATAGGAGCAGAGATTTTCAAACACCGCAAACAAGGTATCTATGTGGTTGCGGACTTACACCGACAATATGAATAACAAGAGAAAGGGCAACTTAATGGCGAACGCCACATAGCCTCCTAATTTTTCCAGCCTTAGAGGAGATGAACATCAAATTTGCCTCTATTTCCATGATTAATGAAGATGCACCTACTTGTGGTTTTCCGAATCTTTTGAAACTTTCTTGGACTCAACTATAGATTGTACCTTGCAGAATTAAAATTCATTGTTATAAAAAATGGTTAGCTTTTTGTGTGTGGCTAGTAGAACTTTTTAAAATTGACTTACTTTGATTGCAAGTGGGTCTTTTTGGTCGTGGACATTCCTGTTGGACAGAACTTCCAACTTTGAGATGACATCCAGACATTTGCATCGAAATTCATAGTAGTTTTCAAGACATGTCATGCATTTATAGCATACAGAGTTTGGCAGCTTTTCAGAATGGGAAACCTGGAAAGCAAAACAGCTATCACTTTAGGAAAACATAAGTAAGTACTTAAAGAAATAAATTAACGTACAATATAAAAGTGTGCAACAATGTATCCAATAATAGATTCATACCTAATATTTAGATCCCATCCTGAAAAAGGTACTGAGTTTATAAAACTGGTGATGTTCCCTTTCAATTTGATATGTGAATTGGCAAATTTACTGCCATCATTCATTTGAGCAAAGCCTTAACCCATTCCCATTATTTGATAAGTATACTTGTCAGCACGCGTTTGGGACATATCTCAGTTGACGAGTTAACTCGTGCAATCTGTCAGCGTTGCTGCACTTGAGTGCCATCTTTCGGAAAAGTGGATAAACACGACCAAAATAACCGTGTAGCAATGCCGACAGATGGCGCAAATTAAATTGTCAACTGAGATATGTTCCAGGCATGTCCTGACGAGTATACTCGTCAAATGATGCAAATGGGTGAACTCCACTCAAGGTTTTTCATATTTATTCTTCATATAAATTTGTTCTGTCAGAGTCCATGCCAAATAAGCTAATACACTTAAAAACTACGACAGAAGATTGTAGGACATCATTTTAGCATGGAGAGTAAATGCAGGAAGCAAGATAGCAGATCTTCTGTGGCAGTCTTAAAGTGCGTGAACTTGGTTGGCGCAGACTCTAGGAAAAATCCTGCGGTCTGATTATCGAAACTGTGTCAGCCTGACGAGACGAAACATTGCACTATCTCAACCATGAAATATATCGCATTTCGATGTTGTATCTGACTGCTTTAAACTTTCAATAATAAGCCTGCTGATGATTATCATGATTCATTTACACCCTGATTACAATGCCTCAGCTCATATCTTAAAAATTCTGCAGGAACAAAAGCAATTTGCAGTTGACACTAACTGTAAACAAAACCTTCATTACGCAGACACCATAGCTGACAAGGGCCTCATTAGGAGGGGAAAGTTCCTCGGTAATGTGTTTTCGATTATAACTGTGATTCTAATGAGTACACACAGAGAAAAGATGAACCAGGAAGAGGACCAAAACTGAAGGTGTATGTAGTGTCGAATACAGATGAAGGTCCTTGAAACACCTCGGAGAGGGACTAAGGGAGATTGACCCAAATTGATGCGCTTCAGCGCAGTGGTACGACTGAGAACTACTATCACAGAGAGATAACTAACACTAAACAGGTAGACTGAGATGGTCAAAGAGCAGTAAATAGTGGGGGGAATTGTGATTAAAATTATTGAAAAGTGATACATGAGCTAATGAGCATGATCAGTGTACATGCAAAGGTAAATAAAGGTACATGAGCTCCATTCAAGCCACTAGCAGAGGTAAACAATGACTGATAAAGTAAATAAACGGCTTTCCTTTCGCGTTACCTTGACTGATAGGCACGAGAAAATTTTCTCAACGAGTTGTTTTTCCCTTCCTTTGTCGCTGAATATATTGATTTGCACATCGTCATTGGAGGCACACAATCGGCACAATTGGGTTAAGTTCTCGGGAGGCTCTCTCCAATCCATGATTCTAAGTTTTACACTTCACAGGTAACATCCAAGACAAAGAAAGTCACATTATCGTGGGAATTAGGATAATCCATACGGTGAGAGTAGATATACTTCGGGACGCCGTTTTCTCCGGACACGGGGCATGGTTTCCGAGAAGGGCCTTTCAGCGAGATGGTGACAAAATCGAAACTTGAAGAGAGCTCTCGTCCTGCACATTCACTTGAACACTCCACAGGGAAAACAAACAGAAAATCCGCGATGAGAGGGTAAGGAAACGGAATCTAGCTCATCGCAATGCCTGCAGCAATTACACGACACCCAAACAATTTCGAAACAAGCTCGAGGTGGACTCCCATGATGGGCGAAATCGACCTCGCTGGACAACGCAACGGGCTACGAGCAACGGGGTCGCCGCGGCTCGGATCGGACGGTCTCTCTCGGATTCGGGCGGTGATGGCGGAGCTAGGACAGGGCGACGGGCGGTGCGCGGCGCGGCGGCAGCTCGGAGACGCGTACGGGTTCGGGCGAACGCCGAGCGGACATCTGAAAAATCGGGGTACCCAACTTGCCAAAGGAGTCGTGGTGAGTTCGGAGGCCCGAGTTCCACGGTGACGGTGCTCCGCGCAGATCCGAGAGGCAGGAATTGGGCTCGGGGCCGGCGGGGAAGGAGCAGGCAGGGGGAATGCGTAGGGATATCGCCGGCAGGGTTGCGGTGGAGCCGAGCTGGGCAGGGGGCGGGCTGCCAGGCCAGCTGTAGTGGTACCAGTTTACGAACGGCTTCCCTCTCGATCTTTTGTTCGGGGAAGGTCCCGTCTGCCTCTGCCGTCGCCGAAGCTCCGCCGCTGCCTGTCAGCCGTCAGCGGTGCTCGTAGCACCGTGGCCGCCGCCCAGCCGCTGAGCCGGGGCCCGCGCTGCCTGGCCTGGCTGCTTTGAGAAAAAAACCAGGAAACCAAAGTGGCACTCGGTCGAGTCGCCATCCTCGGCGTCGCTGTCGCCTCCGTTCCTCGCCTCCGAAACAGGATGCCTGCACTCTGAACTCCGTGTCCGGGCAGCTGGACCCGGCCGGCGTCTTCGAAATTTTTCGGCCTGGCCGGCACCGTCCGCGGCCTGGTCCGGGCCTGCCTCAATCCTGACTCTGCGCCACGTCTAACCGAGGTAGACGAGGAGCATAGCTTTTCGGAACGTAGGGAAAATTTTTGCGCCGGAAATTCTAGCCACGTCTTAACGACATAGCCGGGCTCAGGATGTAGAAAAAAATCCGTATTGCATTCGTTCGCAGAGAGAGAAAATTGCCCCTGACAGTGGGGTCACTTCCAACCGGGGTGGACGAACAGCATAGCTTTTTGGAGGCTTGGAGCGCCAAAAGCCTCGGGGAAATTTTTACGTGGGAAATGTTTGCCACATCTCAACGACATATCCGAGCTTAGGATGTTGAAAAAATAAATCCTTCCCTGATTCGTTCTCAGAGAAAGGAAATTGCCCGTGACAGTGGAGTCACTTCCAATCGGGGTGGACGAGCAGCATAGTTTTTGGGAGGCTTGGAGTACCGGAGGAGACGGGAAAATTTTGGAATCGGAAATTTTTGCCACACTTCAATGACGTAGTGGGGTTCAGGATGGTGAAAAAAATACCTGGTTCTATGTCAGAGAGAGAAAATTGCCTCTGTCACTGAGAAGCGGCTTGGACGCCGAGGGGAAATTTTTTCGCATTTCCGGTCGTAGGAAGACCGAAAGAATTTTCCTGACTTCGAGGTGAAGGCGGGTGTGTATCTGTGCGGCTTCCATTCTCGCCGAAGTACGCGCAACCAAATCATAGCCATAGACATAATATGCAAACTGCGTGTACCTATTTTGGGGAGCGTGGAGTGCGTTGATTTAGTGACTCTTTAAATTGACCGGAAACGCCCCATGCAAAAGTTTGCATACAGTGCAGGGGCGTCGTTTCTACGTAATTATTCATTTGAATTTTTTTTTTCGATCTTACTATGGCAAAAGCCGGCACTTGGCTGATGCAGCATGAAGGTTTCAAATTAAAAAGTTCATTACCTACATGAGCGATTAGACGCCCAGAGGGCGGGAGGGGAAGGGGGCAGAATTTCGGGTTGCTGCTCTGCCTTCAGGAAATGGGATTTCAAACTTTTTATGCTCTTAGTGCATACGGTTGAACCCGCGGTTCTTTATCTGAAGCTAGATGACTTTTGCGAAACATGTCAGGTATTCTCTGGCCATAAAAGTGACACCTGGGTCCACTTAGCCGCTTTCACAGAGGCGGCGGGCTCCCGAACTTCCCCTTTAGGCTTATGGCATGGGATCTTGATGAAAAAAAAAATTTAAAAATATACGCGTGAAAAAAGTAGGTACTGCCTTTTAAAAAAGGAGTCAAGATCAGCCCGTGCCGGTAATAAACCGAAGGCATAATAATGCAAGTACGATTTCCTCGGAGCATTGCCAAATTTCGATCATTCGATAATTAGGCAGCTATTTGCTTTTGCATGATCGTCCTTTGAAATTCGAGAGCGTATTTAAAAAGGCGTATCATAATTTTATTTACAATTAGTAACGAGAGTAAATAAATCCGGGTGAATTATTCCGTAATGAGAGAGTCGGGCACGCGAATGAAACATCATCTATCACTGTCTTCGCATCGACAAAAGACTCCGAAACGGCTCCTCTATTACGCGAAAGGGTCACACAACTATGAAGAGATTAGCGGCTTGTAAAGGAACTTTTTTCGTTTTATCCTTCAATAATGAGAGGGAGAATAAAGGAGGGGTGTGCTAGGAGTGGAAATAAACACATTACTTATTAATTGATGAGTCTGTAAACGGCGCGCTATTGTTCGGATGATGAAAGTATCTTGCCTACCTGAGGTTATATTGGTATTCAAGCGGAGGGTGAGAGGGGAAGGGCGTGGGAGCCGCGAGATGGAATGGGGGGGGGGGGG